TTTTAATTATAGTTATTAATTATATAGGAAAAGATTAAAGAGAATCTTACCGAATTGCCAATGCATTTTGAAAAGAGGTGTAAAATGTGTTAGGTGTATTATAAAAATCAAATTATAGGTTTCAAAATGTGATCAATTCCTATTTATAATTATTTTTACCTACACTATGTGAAATGTGGAAAATTGAAAAAAACTGCGATTAGCAATTGTTATTTCTCGATATATAAATATCGATAATGTATATAAAGTGTGTACAAAATTAATTTATTTCCTTTTTATCTAATTATAGGTTTTAGGAAAAGTTCCCACAATTTCTATTGACAAGACAGATGGTTGTCAAATGTATTTGAATTCGGAATCATTAGATGTGGAATTTATTAGTAGCAAATCTAGCGAAATGAATGTTATGGTACCTAAAGGAAATGGAGATTATGTAAGTTTATTAAATATTTAAGTACATAGATTTATTTTTACATTTTTATTTTAATCTTTTTTTGGTATATATTTTTACAGATTGAATATCCTATACCAGAGCAATTCAAAACAACTATTAGTCCCAAAGGTCTGAGTACGATCGCAGTTGATTCATTGGGCTAAAGTAATTCAATTATTCAATAATTCAATTATTCATAGCCTAACTAAACGTCTGTCTACGAGTACAGCTCATTAGAAATATCATCTTCAGAAAATTTGTCAAATTATTATTTATTGCTTCTTTAACTAATTTAATTAAAAGAAAAGAGAAATGGAGAATTAGGAAAAAATGCGAGTACATAAAAGTATAGAATTGTATTAGATAAATCGATTGAATGTTTTAATATCGCTGTCCTATTTTGTTTCGAACATATTCGCGTATTGTATGAAGATTATCGATTCCATTGCGAATGAAATTGGAATCACTTTAAAATGATGCTCAATTTAAACGAATCTTATTAAATTATATTATACCTTATAAACACGCAGATATTCGATTGTCTGCAACTCGATATTTTGTAATATAGTCATAATTAAATCCCTAGTAATATTGATTAGATTCGTCTAATAAGTGATAATGGAAAAAAAATGGAATCGATATTCTTCACGAATATATTATTACGCACATTGGTGCTGAGATGAGAAGCCTGAATTGGATTAAAATGGTATGGACAAAAGTTTTTCTACTTTCAAATTTGACCTTTTATATATTTACACCATTTTTTATCGTGATCAAACTTTTGTCCATACCAAATTTGCTTCCCGAGATTTTTCAGTTGTACTCGCCATGGAATTGTCACTCGATATTCTTGACAGGAGAATAGAGAGTGATGCATATATAAATTTCTGAGAAATCAAAATATCAGGAAGCATTCACGAGTCATTTATACAATGTTAGTAATGTCATATCGATAATTTAACCCTTTCGCTGCTATTAATGCTATAAGTGCTCAAAAATGCTCTTGTAGGCATTTTTAGATATATTTAATTATCTTATTTTAATAAATATATCTGTGTTATAAATCATGGATTTAGATAAATTTCAGCAAATATTACTATATTGACATTTTCTACATATTTTATGCATTTTATTATTGTCATATGTGTTCTGTACTAAACTCGGCCTGCAGCGAGAGAGTTAATAATATTAACTTCAGACTTTTGCATCACATTTATTTTACATATTATTTGTTTATAGTATTATTAGTTTTTTTTAGAAAATATTAATTAGAAATAAATTATTTTGTGTCAATATACTATAATAATATGATTTCGATTTTAATGTTTGAACTTTTATTTTGTGAGTCTTCCGTGTTTATAAATGTTCATGATGTGTAAATAAAATGGGATGCTAAATTTATTTTATGAATAATATGAATCTTTTAGGCGCGTCTAAAAACTTTCAAATTCAAAATGTATACGTAGTTAAAAATCATCAAAAAAAAAAAAAAAAAACGGTTGTGCAAAAGTCTTGATAATTCAACCGTAAAAAAAGAACACTTCGAAATAATAAATGAATTATAAACTCGATATTGAATTTTAAAAGCGTGCTGTTTGAAGTAAATTACATTGTGATTTTTACCATTTAGTATATTGTGCTAATCGTAAGTATAATCTAATATTAAACTACTTAAAGGCACGATCTAAAATGACATGATCATAATAAAATAACAATGAATTTAGCAGTTCGATCCTTTCCACTAAAGAGATGAAAGAAAAACTCGAAAGAGTTTATGATTGTTTTTATCATTTATATAGTACTAAACATATTTGTATGATTATTGAACAATAATTATTTGACTAAAATTATTTACCAGTAAGGATCGTGCTGCCCATAATGCAGTAATCCCTAACAATCTTTTTTTTGTTTTAATATCGATAGAGTATTATATCGAGATTAATATTTATTTCTTAATATGATTTTCAGTGCTATTTCTAATTGTCCTAATAAAACAAATTATACTATTTAAATCTTGTATTATAATTCTTCATACTGAACTTTTCACTTATAAAGATATTATATTAATTAAAACGTTATTATTATATTAATTAAAATGTTATTTATATTTTTTAGAAAAAAAAATTATGAACGAGAATTTATTTTTTTTAAAAACTCTTATTTATTAGCATTAAAAGAATCTTTTTACATAATTAGATACGATATAATATATATACATATTATGTTAAAAAACTTCGAGTTTACGAAGAAACTGAAATTAATGAACATGATATACGTGGCCTTAAGATTCATTTTTGTAACTAATAAAGCAAAAGAATCAAAATGCCAGGTTTCTATAATAGTAAGTATTTATGAATTAACAATCGGGTGATTCAAAAATACTATTCTTCGCAATTATTCATATTATTTTCGTACAAATTTAATTAGGAAGGTTTTCTTAATATATAATCAGTAAATCTACATATATAATTAGTAGATCTATTCCTATAATTTAAACATATTATTGTTAACTATCAAACGCAAAGATAATTGTATAAAAGAGTATAAGTTAGTATTATTAGTTATCATTAATAACTAAAATTTTTTGAAACATTTTATATTTGATTTCAATACACTCTCTAACATTTATCTTTAACTTTTGATTTCTAGCTATTTATTGCACATTTATATAAAATCAATGAATATTTATATTTCACAGCAATATTTCCAAAGATGGAAAATTTTATATTTTAATGATGAAACATATTTTTAGTATATGTTTTCATTTTTTTTTTCAATTTTAAAAAATTCATTTTTCTTTTATCTTCTTATACTATAATTGTTTTCAAAATTTATAAATTTATATAAATTTTTAATATAATATTATAATTATATTATATTATAAATATAAATTTATAAATTTTTTTATACATTGAAGTTCTTTTATTTTAATTAATTCATTTAATTCATAAGATGGAACGAATAAATACAAATACAATCAGTCTTCATTTCTATAAATTAATAGAACAATTACGTTCATCACTACCATCCGAACATTCTAGAAATCCATTACATATTCGAGATTTTGGCAAACACTCGCCTAAAGGACATCGATGACCTTTGCAAGA